TTGGCATGCTAATCGTGCCCGCCAATCTCTCAAGTTTGTCGTATTGGCATTCAACGTATAGTTGGGGTGGTCTTGCTGTTTTAATTATCTATAACACAGGACTTGCTTCCGACTAATTTTCTTTTTTTTATAATAAAAATTGTTTCATTTTCAGATCATTATTATAAATAAAAACATCGAAAGTAGTGTTGCTGAAGACTGTAAGCAATAAATGAACACGAGGACAATCCAACAGTAGCTATTTTGGTTTGATCTCAAGGAATAATTCGGTATTATTTGTGTTACTTCTTTCAAAAGGGAATCTCAGGGCAAAACATGGCTGTTATCCAAGACAAGGGAATCCACTTAAATGATTTAGGAAATGAATATATTTATACATGAAAAGTGAAGATGCATATTCATTGAAACCGCCTAATGCAGAAAAATATGTAACCTAAATAACAAAAGCTGATAATTAGCATATGTAAAGATGACGTCATCAACTTAGCAAACTTGTACGGAACCGTAAACTAAACCTAACATAATAGCATCATGTAATATATTTACGAATAGCATCATGCAACATATTTACGAATAGCATCATGCAACATATTTACAATGAAATTCCCACATGTAACGTAATGACATTTTTATTTTTGAATAATTTAGATTCCAACTAAATATAGAAAAATTATAAATCATCAGTATTCAATCACCTCTTCCATCCTCCACTAGCATAGCTACCATCATCATCCTTCTCGGGTAAAATATCAATTATAGATCCTTTAGAAGTTGCACCAGAATCCACCATCATCTTTCTCGTTCTTCCAAACTCACGATTCCACAAATAAGCAAAGGAGCGACTGGTATTCAAACCTCCACTGATATAGTTTAACTGCCTGACGTTAGAGTATCTCCCAATATGTCCCGCCCAACGATTTACAGACCTCAAGAAACTGTTGCATAACATCTAAACCAGATGCCTTGATATGAAAACTGAATAAAATTGACAAAACAAAAGCAAGCACCAAAATATGAAAACGAAAATCAGCTTTATAGCATCTCAATCAATCTTCATGCGATGGGTACAAATGCATCTACAGCTAAGTGGTTATTAAAAAAAGGTACAAATAAACGGAAAGTAATGTGAAACCAAATTGAATTCGCTATACAATAAATATTCAACTTCTTTTCCTACTCCTGGTGTAGAATATAGAAAATGACAAGGATTCACTGCTATTGTAAACTACTAATTACTTTTTGCAGGTAAAAGGGTGCTTTTCTCTTATATAGTAAGAAACAATTAACCTCCTTTCATGGGATCAAAAAAATTAGAAAACCTTTACTCATTTACTTTTTTTGATAAATAAATTCAATTAGGGAAAGTTTTGAAATTTTAGTGCACAGTAATTTAGGTAATCAAATTTCACTCGATCGATCATCTCTTGACATTTCTCTTACACTATCAATTAACTTCATACACGAGCTTCATTCAAAGTTGAACACATTTTTTTCATAAATACATCTTTAATCACCAAAATCCTGAAACAACAGCTTAGATTACACACACACACACACACACACACACACACACACACACACACACACACACACACACACACATATACACATAGAAACAGCAATAGAAAAACGAAAATACCAGCTCAAAGAAGCTGACTGGTCGAACCTCAAAAGTACACGTCGAGATACAGATCCGTCGCCATTTTCGCAATAAAGGATTTCACAAGCTTATTCGATTGAAAAAATCAAATGTGAAAAAGTAGAGCGGATCAAATGATTAACAGATCGAATAGTTAATAAAATCGGATGAAAGAGAATATGGCAGTAGATCGGAATCCCATCGAATCCAGACAAAAAAAACTCAATTTTTAAGAGTAATCATGGTAAAATAACATAAAGGAAGGTCTTCAGAATCTGGGAAACCCTAGATAGAGTGATTGTTGATAGTATACCACTATTATTAGTGGAGCGGATGAAAGTGAATTTTGGTGTGAAGTGGCGGAGGCTAGAGAGAGAAAGTGTGATTGATAATAGGAGAGAGAGAGAGAGAGAGAGAGAGGAGAGAGAGAGAGCTGAGAGAGAGCTACCGATTGAATCTGTTGCCTGCCACCGGAGGGAGTCAGCAGCAGTGTCAACGTGGCAGTATCACTGGTGCATCTGCATTTAGATACACAATCATATGTGTCTCACTCAAGTGAGACCCCAATTACATGTAAATCTACCCAAACTTGATTTCTTATTAAAAATATTAAAAATTAAAAATTAAAAAATTATGCAAAAAAACCTCATATTTATGATATTGTTAATTCGAAATTTTTGCGAGCTCGAGATTGAGCTGAGTTTGGCCGTAGCCTAAACTTTTAGGATTCGAGCTCACAAATATGGCTCTCGAGCTTTTGAATACCTAAGCAAGTTTTATTTTTGAATTTTGAGTATTATAATTTATGATAAAATTGTATTTTAAATATCTAAAACGAGTTTAGTTTTTTTTAATTTCAATTTTAAAAGTGTTGTTATTAATAATTTTTTATTGTACATTTAACTTTGAAAAAAACAAATTACAAGCGGACTCGTGAACTTTCGAAAAATTGAAAATGAGCTGAAATTCGGTTCATTAGAAAAGGCTCGATTTCATGAATCAAGGTCAATTTTTGTTTATTGTGAACTTGATTTGTTTATGAGCACAAGGCTCGTAAGTGGGCCCAACTAATTTAAACTCCTAATTAGTTGGTTCGTGTGTGTTTGTAAGCTATTGTATGAAAATATACAATTGATATATGACTAATTGCTAAATTAATTTTAAATTCAATAAAAAAAAATTAGTTTCAATATGGATTTAATTTAAATTTAAAATTATTCTCTCAAAAGCTACTTAATTGCTAATTTATTTTTAATGATAAATGAAATATTTTAATTTTAAATTCAATAAAACAATTTAGCTTCAATATGGATTTAATTTAAATTTAAAATTATTCTCTCAAAAGCTACTTTTATGCTATTTCAAATAGGAATGTAAAAAAACTTAAAAAGTGATTGTTCAATTGAAGCTAGCCCATTTAGCTTAAGTGGGCCAAGGATGCACTGGCCCGTAATCCTTCCACTGTAGTGAGCGGGAGGTTTTCGCGGCTCTGTGAGACCAGCCTAGCACGCGCTGCCCTCCACTCTACGAACCACGTGGCTCAAGCCTACGCCCGAGTCACATGGACCAACTCGCCACTTGGACCGGGCAGGCCAATTAATCGCATCAATTGGCCCAGCTAGAAAGCCTAGACAGCTGTCCAATCACAATGTTGCCCCCACTTGGGTCACAAGCTCGCGTTACCAAGCTCGGCGAGTGACACTCACTTTCTGGAAGTTTATATAGTAGTGCAAATCTTATTATACTTCCGATGTGGGACGAAATTACAATAGCCTATTTTGCTCTCATCCAGTAATAAATTTGTCTGAAAATGGTAGTCCACAATTCTTCAAATTATTGACATAAACACTGTATCTAGTCAAAGCAATACATATATATATATATATATAGAGAGAGAGAGAGAGATATAAACCTGTATCTCTAGGTGCAATTAAATAGTCAATTTGTCACTCACATGATTGTAAATTTTGTGATTTGACCCCAAGTTTGCCTAAAAAATTTAGGTGAAATTCATTTTGTAAAAATTTGATTTTTATATCAAGTGGGTTAATTTATGGAATTTGTTTTCTCAAAATTATTTATAAATGAATTATAAATTAGTGTGCATAAAAAGACAATTGAAATACTTACAGATGAAGAGGTATTTTAGATAGACACTTTAGACACTCATTTAATTGAAAAATGTCTCATTTATTTAGGAATATAATACTTGTGAATTATTCAATTATATAATAAACAAAGAAGTAGCATTTTCTATAATATCATATAAATATTCACAAAAACATTTAAAAAATAATAATAATAATGTAATACTTTCTAACTCAAATTCATTTAATAATAATAATAATAATAATAATAATAATAATAATAATAATAATAATAATAATAATAATAATAATAATAATAATAATAATAATAATAATAATAATAATAATAATAATAATAATAATAATAATAATAATAATAATATATTTAAGTGGTTCATGAGGCCTAAATAATTTGTTTTTTATGAAAAGCAGCTTAATCGGCCTCATCTTAAAATCCATAATCAGTTATAAATAGAGGTTTCATTCATCATTTTAAAGGGTTTTACTATTTGCTATTTTTGATTTTCTGCAAACCTTCTACCATACTTCGATTCTCGATTTTCTATACGGCAACGAAGGGCAATTGTCGAAAACAGCTCACGAGTCACCTGTGTTGGTTTCGTACGCCGACGAACGAATTTTTACTCCCACTTCTTATATCCAGTATGGTAACAATATCAGACTTCAACATTCTCCGTCTACTTGAATTTTTAATAATAGTGAATTTTGTTTCCGAACAAAAACATAAAAGAAAAAAAAAATAAATAAATAAATAAAATAGAGGATATAATTAAATGCCAATAGATTGACCCAAAATATTGACAAGCTGTTCTCAACAGCTCCCCCACCTTTTCTCACGGCACTCAATTTGTAGGCCAAATTAAAAATTCGATTAAATTAAATATTTAATAATATCAAGTCACTTTCACTTATTTTGACCAATATATACACTTGCCTATATTTTGACCAAATATAAGTAATATGCGTAGAAATAAATATCGTATTTGTTAATTGAATATTGATCACATCATTAATTCAACATAGTGCTATAAAATGTAATTATTGCTTAGCTTGCAAGTCTCCATCGTAAAATTGCATAATTATTGCAGGCATGTTTTCAAGAATATTGTAATGGGATTATTTATTATGAAAAATATCTTACGTTATGGTTTAGTCTATAAATAGTACTAGTCTTTTAATTTTGGATTTTAATTTTTATTGTATACCTCTGAATCAGTTTAAATATTGTCCATCTAATTGAATGCAATAGACAACCATACATTGTCCATATATGATTAAATGTTGATAAAATACTTTATGGGATACTTTATGTGCATAATCACTCAAAGGTTTTAGCTCTTAAATCATTTTTGGCTAGTTTCATATGCACGACAATTTTAAATAATGTACTTTGGACACTGTACTCTCCCTTTTTAAGTTTTCTTTGCAGTTAGCTATCGAACTCATACGAAATATCTAGAATGCCCATCACTTTATATTATTATTATAATTATATAATTTTTTTTTTCACTTAAAAAAATACTAATGCTCATAAATGGGGCATATATGATATAACGTATACATATGATTTAAATGATGCACTTCCCATATTAAATGTACAAAGGTGCGTACAATGTACGCTCACAATCTAACGAATTTGGATATGTAGCTCCACGATATCAAGAGTTCTTTCAAAGTCTCATTATATTATTCTTAATTGCAATGACAAAAAACTGATAATTCTTGGGGCGACAACATTCTAGCACTTCTACTAAGAGTTGTTAACTATCACCAGATACATCTATTTTTTCAGACATAGGACATAAAAGCTAAAATAGTAGCAATGTAGATGAGCGGAGCTACAGTGGCGCGAGAAGGGATAGAGAATTGAGCATGACGTTTTTTTCGATCTATCGTCGTAATTTTGGGAAGATTCAAACATATGTTGAAAGATTCATGACGTGTTTGGTTACATACATAGATAAAATGAAGAAAACAAAGAAAATATAAAATTATTTATTGAATGACATTTCAAACATTTCAGGTGCTTAGAAAGCTAACTATAAGCGAAACTTAAAAAAACTAAAAGTACAGTATCCAAAGTACATAGTAATTAAGACCGTCAAATATATGAAAATAGCCAAAATAAATATACGATCCAATGAAATCATTGTGATGCAAATGGCAAAGGTGGAATAGGAGCAAAAGTCTTCCACGTTATG